AAGATCGAGATAGGGATTTAACAAGTAATTCAGTATTACTCACACTGCGTTTAAAGGTAAGCTGCATTTAACATTTATGGCCAAACACTACATACCGCGTTTTACTTTCCGAACAATAACAACGATATACATGAAATTTCATCAGATGTCTCAAATACTATGACTGTTGCATTGGCCGAATTAAAAGTAGTGATCATTGACGAAATTAGCCTTTTTAGTACCGGGCATCTTCTTTGGATTGATAAACGTCAAGAGACATATTTGGTCGTGATAGACCATGCTTTTTTGGAGATTTTAATCAACTGCCACCCTTATTTGATTTTGCTTTCTACAAAGAGTTTCCCAGTGATCCTATAAAAAATTTAAAGTTTCAAGATGTATGGCATTCATTGAAAGTCCACTACTTAACACATAAACAGTATCTATAGAATTATCACGACTTAAAACTGTACAACTGAAACCAAAGTTCAGCTCTTTACGCTCACTACGTACAAATATTCAAGTTATTTCCCACAATGTTCAACGCCTAAATGCTCATGTCGATCAAAGTTAACGATGAAACATATATGTCATCAGATTATATTTTATTATCTGAAACTTGGACCACTCAGAACCAAATTTTTGATATTCCTGGATTTACTGAAATTTCAAGAGAGTATAGCCGATTCAACCACCTCTGGAGCTTATGGCGCAATGTGTCTTATAAATGATAGATTAAATCAGTCCACACCATTCAGCAAAATACAGCTATTGAATGCATCCAGTGAAGGGTATATCTATAGCGGGACTCAGTTCTCCGACATTACTTGTTCTATCATTTTACATATTCCCTAAATTCAAATTAGACGATGCTATTCCAATTATAGAATCATGTATCACAGTCAATGAAAGAATAATTTTAGCTGGTGATTTTAATGTTGATTTTAATATCGAATCTTCATCAAGAACAAAATTATTACAACTTCTTGATAAATACAATATGTACACAGCCATGCCAGATGATATGAAATCTACAACAAATAATGGCACATTCATCGACAACATATTTACTAATTTTACTGTTCAAGAAGGCAGTAGATACATATTGTTTACAAGCTACCATGACCCGTTAACCATGACCCGTTATATATTACCTTTTAAGCACATTATTCAATAAAATTTAAGCTCATGTGATTTAAAAAAAAGTGTGTCACGTCGTATTAGAAAAGCGCCCCCGGGAAGGCTGATTAGCCTTGAGTACGGCCGGATTTTTTCTTAAATCACTTTCTCCATTAAAGTCCCTTTTTATATTATAATTTTCTTAATTTAATAGTCGATTGTTATATGAGCACTTTTTTTTTAGTTTTATCTTAAATGTTATGTGTGGTATTCTTGGGCAGAGGGCTCACCGTAAAACCCTCAACATCTGGCGGAGAGATCTCCCGTACCCCAATCTCATATCTCTACAAAAAGCTATTAAGTCGAAGAAAAAAAACACGCTTTTAAAAATTACACTGTAAAAATCAAATTACGCTGTAAAAAAAAATTACGCTGTAAAAAAAAAGTTATACCGAAGATATTATGCTGTAAAGCAGAAGATGATCAGTTTTTCTGAAGGTAACACTTTAATGATTAATATTATGGGCCGTAATCTTGGGAACATGGGTTCCCCCTCCCCAAACCCCGTACCCCTTTTGCATAAGAAACCCCGCACCCCCGATTATTTTACATATCTGTTTAAGATATATTGTTGCAACAAAAATAAAAGTAGTATTGTTTTTTCTGATGGTAATACTTCAATGTTTAATGTTATGGGCCGTCTTCTTGGGAGGAGGGATTTGCCCTCCCCCCAAACCCCACACCCCCCTCAAAAAATTCAAAATGTGTGACTGTTTTGTACAATTCCTAATTCCTATTATTTTATATATTAATTGTATTAAGGGTACGAATATTGGTCTAAGGGGACGATGTCGCTCGTATTTTAAATGGTCGCGTAAATTCTCTACCTTCATGAAAGTTAGTTACGGAAAGACGCTTCTAATTGAAAGGCGGTTGAATATATACTTAAAACTTCTATGAAAACATTAAGTATTCGTATTGAATAAAGTTTTACGTATGTAAAAAAACAAAGGGACACAGTGCACAGAAATATTGATATGCGACAAATATGCAGGGGAACAACCGAATAATTTGGTAGTTTTACGACAACACTTGTACGTTAAATGTTCATTGTTAATAAAAAAGGATAAACTCTTGTACGTTTAAGGCTCATTGTTAGTGAAAAAAGCGATAACACTTGTACGTTTAACGTTTACTGTTAGTGAAAAAACAACAACACCTGTTCGTTTAACGACGAAAGTTGGTTAAATAACGAACAACAAACTTGTACGTTCTGCAATCAACATTGGTGACAGCAAAGAACTTGGTTGTTTGACAAACAAGTATATTTAGACGCTTTTTCAACATATTTTTACGCAAATAATTGATGTCAGCTATTTTTCAAACAGGTATTTGGCTGTAAAAGTGGTACGTTTTGTCACCAAATATTTCGCCATAATGACTGATGTTAAAATAAAGTAGTTATGACAGTGAACACCAGACTGGAAGTAGTCGACTAAAAAATTCTATAGTATAAACTTTAAGGATAATAAGATAATCAATGTTGATTTTAAGAGGGCGTAAGCAACATAAATATAAACTGATTGCCAAGATTAAAAAGAATAGTAATTATGTGTTTGAAAACACTATGTTATAAACGCTTTCGATAATACAAGGACCAAAGCCGAGTGTGAAATATGAGTTTTGAATCAGATGTTATATGATAAGTAAAGACGTTCGATAAACAAGAAGTAAAAAAGTTGAGGGAAACACAAAGGAGTCAATTACAAATTATTACAAAACTAGATTTTAGTCAAAATAAAACTGATGTAATATTTATTTGAAAAAAAAAGGAAGCGTATTTAAAGCAAATATTCTATCCTGTGTAGCGCCAAGTTAATTTAGATTGGCGGCAACAATGCGATCCCGATTGACTTGTTGGGAATATCAATGCGAGGTCAAAGTTACTGTAACGCATTGAAGGTCAAATGTAGAGATCCAGGGACAGATCATCATCGTCCACGGAGGATAGACTTTCCAAATTTCAATAATTTGAAAAAAGAAAGCACGACCGGAGTTGGTCATTATATCCAACACTTTTTTTAATCATCTACATAGATTAGCAACACAAAATGTCAAATCAAAGCATTGTTTTAACGACAGAATTTATTTGTAGGGAATTGTCTAATTACGCCGATGAGGTAGTTCAATTTAAAGGATCCGTAGCCGAATATGACTTGTGGTTCCCAAACGGCCCCAAGCGTCACGGAAACTGGGTTCTTTCTCAAAGATGTTAATCAAGAAAAAAGATCATTCTTGGTGAAACAGTTGATGAAGCCAAAACAATTAAAAATGTTAAATGTTTTGTTTGTAATCATGCTGGAAAGCCACGTACACATACCAAGCCTACAAATAGCGATGATAGACCTGCCAAAAAATCCCGCATTTATAGTCTATCAATCAAAGTTGGCTGTACCGCAAAATTCAGATACAAAGAAATGCTCAACGGCCAGGTAGAGGTGTCCTATTCTCGGGAGCATAAAAACCATAATCCATTAGATACTTCCGACATTGGCAAATCGAAACTCACAAAGGATGTTCAAGGTTGAATTTCCACACATGTTGACAAAAACATGGATTGCAAATCTATCAAGCCATGAACAAACGGATGACGTAAATGCTTTACAGATGCTTATCAAATAATAATTGGCCCAAAGATTGAAAAAAATGCCGATTTTCAAGGTGTACCAATGTCTATGTGGATCAATCATAGAGTAGTTCAAAACATGATTTATGAAAGACTTAAGAAGAAGTACAGAAAAGGTGAATCAGAAAAATCAGTGTAGAGCTATGGACTGATTTTCTACATAATAAAAATTATCAGGCTTTTAATATTTTGATCAAGAAGACGGGCCTAAGATGGTAGATAGGGTCTCGCCATGTCAAAAGGGAGAACATGTTCTCTGACTGTTTGTTTAAAGTTTATCACTCCATTTTAAATTTGTTTCCAGTTTTTAGAATTATCCTATGGATGGTGCTTGGATTGAACATAAAAGACATGCACTTACGTCATGCACAGAGGCAAGCGTTGTTACTTCTTCACCATTGTTGTGAGTAACACTACCACAAACAAAGGCTTACCAGCAGCATTCTTCATCACCAGTGACGAGTCTTCATATGCATTGACCAAATGGTTGAGATGGTTGAATGTAAACAACAAGTTGAGCGAAAATAAAATTATGATCGATTGTAGAATAATGTAACAAATTGCCATTGAAACAGTTTTAGGCTGCACTGTTTCTGTTTTGTTATGCCATTGGCATATTCCGAAAAATTTAGACAACCGCATGAAGGAAAGATAATCGATCTTTTGTCTGCTTTAACTCGTTTATACACATACGTTGTTGCTGATTTAGGGTCTAATAACAATATCCCTACCTATTATCTCACCCCTTCCTATTTATTATCACTTCCCAAAGTTGATACACCAATTTCAGTTGAAGTAGTTGTTGAATTATATCCTCGTGGATCTGGTAGTTCGTCAGCCGAAAATACCTGTACGACATCCGCAACATGATCTGGATCTTCAATACAAAATTGGTTTATGTTTATAAAGTCTCTGACTATTGAATTGATATCATGCATTAACGTCTGCAAGTCTCCCAAAGTTCTGATGTTTACATGGCTTGCAACACGGTGTTTATTTTGATTGTAATGTTCAGTATCAAAAACATAAATTTGAGCAAATGATGGTGCTACCTTATTTGATGAGAGCATCAGTATAATAACATGATAAATACTGCCGCAAACTCGGAACACGTAGGCTCAATCGCAAGAGTTCTGAACAGATTACTAAGAATAAACAACTATCAAAGTGAAGTTTAAGCCGTTGTTGTACGACCGTAGAGTGCATCCGCACTTCAATATGCCAAAAACAATTATAAGCAGAGAGAGATATTGAAACTGGACCACAACAGTTTTCTCATAATGAAGGCGCAATGTTTTTAGTCACATATCATTTTAATTATGATTAAAATGAGAATGTGAAATTTTTATTCTAAAAACAAAGTGGGTCCGGAATTTTAACAACTCGATTTTAGGCATGAGCGAAGTATTTGTCACAAGCAGGTTCAAAACTTTAAATTTTTTCTTTTCCGACCAATAGTATCGTCCTGTTTATACATAGTATTTGCGCTCTCCAACCATGAAATATTAACTGCTTCTACTCTCAAATTGAGTACCCGCGCGCGTAGTATTGCAGCTTATCAAATCAAAGTCTGAGGACATTTATTGTCAACACTGTAAGACACAAAAAGGATAAACCAAACTTTATGTATGAGACATTTGACAGTGATAATAACGAATTAAAAATAAAAATGGAACATTTAACAAAGTAAAATTAAGAAACTGCAAAAATAAACTGAAGCTTTATTAAACATACGAGGCTTGTTTTTGAAATAAAAAGACTTAACATATATTTATTAATCGTGAACTTAACGCACCTCTAATGCTTAAGTTACACTGCCTATTATCAGTTTGACACTGGAGAAAACTTTGATGTTTCTCAATACATCTATAAATATTTGGAAAAAGACGATATCCCTAGACCCAGGCAAGAACGTTGATCTACGCAAAAGAATTAATTGTTTATACATCTGATTAACTATTGTATGCGCAATGTTTATACTTCATAACGAAAGATTTGATAATCCATAATATTAATTTCAAAGGTGACCCCTTCATCCACCAAAAACAAACAATTTTTCAGTTCTTCTCGAGTAATTACATATTGTTTGTGAAAAAGTGTTCATATACTTTTCTCTAACCTGGATAATATAATGCTTAATGGTATTAGTTGTTATACTGGGGCTAATGGTAACCTCTACCCCGAAATCACCATAGTAACAATTTTTTTTTTGCAATGACGTTTTTTGTAAAAGTCACTTTTATATTATGACTTTCTCCAAACAATCAGTTTTTATATATGCTCTTTTTTTTAGTCTAATGTTTAATATTATGGGTCGTATTCTTAGGAGGAGTGGTTTTCCCATCCTCTAATTTTGTATCTCGGCTCAGAAATATTACGCCATAAAAAAATTCATGCTTTAAAAACACAGCGCTGTAAAAAAAAAGGAATATTGTTTTTCAGAAGGTAACAATTTAATGCTAAATAATATGGGCAACCCCTCAAAACATTCGTAAATTTGTGACTGTTTTTTACAATTTCTAATTCCTATTTTTTTTATATATTAATATTAACGAGGCTTTTTCAAACCAAACCTCCGTTTCGGTAAAAATTTGACCTTCGCTGCGCTGCAGTAAATTTTTGACCTGCACTATGGTTCGGTACGCTGCGCTTTGAAAAAGCCTCGTGCTGCCGCAGGCCTGTTTTTGAAATAACAAACTTAACATATATTAATTAACCATGAAGCCCATGCACATTATAACTTAAGCTACACTGCCTATTATTAGTTTGATACTGGAGAAAACTTTGATGTTTCTCAATATATGTATAAATATCTGGAAAAAGACGATATCCCTAGACCCACGCAAAAAAGTCGATCTACGCAAAAAGTATTAATTGTTTATTTATCTGATTAGCTATTCTATGCGCAGTGTTTTTGTTTCATAATGAAAGACTTGATAATCCAAAATAGAGTGCATCTGCTTTTCAGTAGTTCCTAACGTGTTTTGTGACATTTTTGAGCATTATCTCCGACTAGTACAAGTAATATAAAAGGAAACTTATTCATAGCCAGATTTTTTTTTTTTTTTTAAAACAATTTTTCAGTGGAAGTAATGTTGGGCCTCCGGCTGCGATTTCATAGGCCGGCTCTAAACAGCTTCAGATCAATATTTCAAGCCTTTCAATACATAAATTAATTTTAAAAAGGGTCACGCGTCTTAAGAATATACTTTATAAAATATATTCGAAATTACAAATGATTTCACTTAGTACATAAAAAAGGTTGAAACTATTTTACCCTTTTTCAGGGTCGGTGATTTTAAGCCTCCGGCTGCGATTTCATAGGCTGTCTCTAAACAATTTCAAATCAATATTTCAAGCCTTTCAATATATAAATTATTTTTAAAAAGGGTCACGCATCTTAAGAATATTTGTTTTAATGTATATTTTAAAATTCAAGTAGTTCTACTAAGAGCATCCCCAGCAGTGCCCGATAAAAAACTCTTAAGTTTGAGTTTTTTTTTTTAATTCAGCAATAAAAGTTTTGTCAACCCCAGCAGTTTAAAAAAAAACTCTTAAATAACGGACCTCAAAAAACTTAATTAATTAAATGTACCTGAAAAAAAAAAGGTGTCAAGATCTTTTTACTCAATCCCGAATTTTTTTAAGATGGAACAACTCGCAGCCATGGCACTCCTGAATCTCAGAAAGCGTGCAAATAATAATGTCCTTCATATACTGAACATCAAAAGACTTAAGGATGAAATGGACAGTCAGTCAACGACAGGTGGTTCAGTCGAAGGGACGCAGAGTCATTGACAGAGACAGTGAATCCGGCTATCAACAGTCTATTAAATGATTACTTTGTCGAAAACCCGGTTTACGGCGAAAAAGAATTTCGTCGTCGATTCAGAATGCGTAAGAATGTCTTTCTTCGAATTGTGGAAGCTATCACCGAGCATGATCCGTATTTCCAAAGAACGCCAAATGCTGCTGGAAAAATGGGTCTTCATCCTTTGCAGAAGGCTACTGCTGCATTACGTCAGCTATGCTACGGCGTCAGCGCTGATACGGTAGACGAGTATTTGCGTTTGGGTGAAAGTACTGCCTTGAAAAGTATGAAGAAATTCTGCGCTGCTGTCGTTGAGGTTTTTGGAGAGGAGTATCTTAGAAGACCCAACGAAGAAGATACCGAGAGACTCCTCGAAGAGAACAAAAAACGTGGATTCCCAGGTATGCTCGGGTCTCTCGATTGCATGCATTGGACTTGGAAAAACTGTCCAACAGCATACCATGGTCAGTATACCGGCAAGGAGAAGAAGCCGACATTGATTTTGGAAGCAGTGTCTTCGTATGACCTGTGGATCTGGCATGCCCATTTTGGCTTACCAGGTTCATTGAATGACATCAATGTTCTTGACAGATCAGATTTGTTCGATGAATATACGAACGGCAGCAGCGTGGATGTGAAGTTTGACGTCGGTGACCAGGAGTTTACCATGGGGTATTATCTTGCCGATGGGATATACCCCAACTTTGCCAATTTGGTAAAGACATTTTCTGTTCCAAAACCTGGTGCCGAGGCAGTAAATATCGTTTCTAAAATATTAAAATTTATATGCTAGCTATTAATCATGACTTCTTAAAATATAGAACTTCGCTAAACAACAAGAAGCATGCCGTAAGGATGTCGAGAGGGCTTTTGGCGTATTGCAGGCTCGATTTGCTATAATTAGTTGTCCTGCAAGATTGTGGAAAAGAAAAGATCTTGGTATGATCATGAAGGCGTGCATAATTATGCATAATATGATAGTCGAAGACGAGCGGGATGAGAGCGACACCCTTCCAAACAATTACTTTAAGTCTCATCCTGCCAATCCTTCTGATGCTGCAGACATTTCTCGCGATCCTTCGTTCTATAGCTTTTCTAGCTATTTAGAGCGCCACGGAAACATCATTGATGCATCTGAACATTTCAGATTGAAGAAGGCCTTGGTCGCGCATCTCTGGCATAGAAAAGGATATGGAATTGTTTAGACTTCACTTCTAAATAAAATTCACTCAAAAGTATAGGTCTATCTAGTTTTAAAAATATAAATAATTTTGAGAATGGAACAGAGGATTAAACATATTTATTGTTCACCATTAATATCTTCTGTACGAAGTATTTCGTTCTCAATCTCAGCTTCGAGGCGATCCAAAGCTTGTTTGCGACTAAGCTTATAGAAACGCAAAGTCTCTTCATCATCCTTGAACTTCTCCAAGTCAACGCTGAACAATCTCTCATCCAACAACTTTTGATTGACTGCCAAAAGCTTTTGGTTGACAGCCAATTTCTCCTGCTTAATGGCGTTCGCCATATCCATCTTCTTCATCATCTCAGAGTATTCGTCTGCTAGCTGTTGCTGGTTTGTTTCCCAGCTAACCAAGGAATCAGTGATCTTCTTGTCCATGGAAGCCTGGTTCTTGCTCTTTTTGCGTCCCTTAGGACGCGCAATGATGGATCCATCACTTTCACCATCTTCATCCTCAGCAATCACTGTTGAGGTCCCAACCTCAGTAGCAGCAGAGCTACCAGGAGCACAAGAAGCGGTAATCGTTCTCTTGGAACCTGCCTTCACCGCCTGTTTTCTCACGAGCTTGGCGTCTCTTCTTGCCATCTCATCATTCCACTTTGGACTACTACGAAGTACCAAAAAACAATCGTAAAAAGCGAAATGAACACGGTATTTTGTCTGAAACAAATTGAAAGCATCCCCCAACTATTTGTTAAATTATTTGAGTTAAACTACTATATCCCTTTATCGATAGTTATATGATACGTACTTCATCTGCAGCAGCATTACCGCTTTTTTTGCGTCGCTGGATTGCTGCGACACAGCCGCAGTACTTGCTGACAGCAGCAGAAATGTTCCCCCAATGGTTTTTGAAGGCCTTCTCGTTTCTTTCTGGCCAGTCGAGCTCACCCTCCGTCTTGAAGTCGTTCATAATCAACTTCCAGAACACTTCCGCCTTCATCAAATTACCATGGACTGCCTGCTCCGAGATGCGCAACCATGACTTGCACACCTGGACATTCTCCTCGTGTGTCCAGCGGAAACGCTTCAACTTGCTGGTATCGGAAGGACCAGCATCCTCATTGCCACTTTGCTCGTGGTCGTCAATTCCATGGACATTACCATCATCACTGGCATCGTTACTAGAATAGTTACCGTTGTCGAAGTCAGAATCGTTGTTATTGCTCATTTTTATTAAAAAAGGTTATAGAGATAAAAAGGGGTATTTTTTATTGATGTTTTTTTTTCCTCTAAAAAAACACTTCGGATTGGGAAAATTTATGGGAAATTTTGATTTCCCAAAGTTAAGGGTTTTTTATCGGGCACTGCTGGGGGTAAAAAACTTTTAATTTTCCCTTAATTAGCGGGCAAATCGACTTTTATCGGGCACTGCTGGGGATGCTCTAAGTACACAAAAAAGGTTGAAGTTATTTCAAGCCATTGCTAACGATTATATAGTCTGTGCGCGGTTTTTTAAATCCGTGAGCACAAACAGTGGGTTATTTCAAAATCCGACCATGGCTAATGATAGTAGCGGCAGGTTATTATTGGCTCAGAAACCTTTTTGTACAGGTTGTGACATTTTTTCCCCGCCCCCACCTAAAAAAAAAATGTTGAATCCAGAATCTGTTATGTTTTTTAAATTGATATCTGTAGATTCTCATTTTAATCAACATAAAAAACAATCCTAACCTTTCAGATGGGATATTAATTTTAAGGAAAATGTGTTTTACCCATCTAAATATTTGTCTCTGCATAAATTTTTTTTAGGTACCACCTAAAAGCAGATGCACTCTATTAATTTCAAAGGCGACCCCTTCATCGACCTAAAACAATCAATTTTCCAGTTGTTCTCGCATAATGACATATTGTTTGTGAAAAAGTGTTCATAGACTGTTTCTCTAAACTCGATAATTTAATGCTTAATACTATTGGTTGTTATACTGGGCCGGAGGGTAACCTCCACCCCGAAAACCCCATAGTAACAATCTTATTTGCAATGATTGTTTCCGTAAAAGTCACTTTTTATATTATGACTTTCTCCAAACAATCAGTTTCTATATATGATCTTTTTTTTAGTCTAATGTTTAATATTATGGGTCGTATTCTTGGGAGGAGTGGTTTTCCCATCCTCTAATTTTGTATCTCGGCTCAGAAATATTACGCCATAAAAAAATCATGCTTTAAAAACACAGCGCTGTAAAAAAAAAAGGAATATTGTTTTTAAGAAGGTAACAATTTAATGCTAAATAATATGGACCGTATTCTTGGGTGGAGGGGTTCGCCCTCCCCCCAAACCCCCCACCCCTCTTGCGGGGGAAACCCCCGCACCCCCTCAAAAAATTCGTAACTTTGTGACTGTTTTTTACAATTCCTAATTCCTATTATTTTTATATATTAATACTTGTTCATTTTATGTCATAATAAATACTTCTTATAAACAGTCTCAAATTATTTAAAAACTGCCTTATAATTTACTTACCTCAAAATACAATACTGCTACGTCTCAAAACTACTTGTAGCCAGTTCAAAAGCTTTGGCATTCTCCGACTGTCATGTTCTCTCCTTCTAAGCAGTTTTCATCAGAATGTTTAACATTTGTATTTGACTATAATCATTCGAATACCACTCTTATCTGATTTCGTCATATAAATTACCCCGTTATCTAAATATGTTTTACCTTTTCTAGTTGACAGCTACATATATAGTCTGGTGCTCACTTTTTAATAACTTTTATCTGAAGCTCTATTTGTATTTTATCCTGTCACTTTTACTGAAACTTGCCACCTTTGCCAATACTCATATTGCCAAATCTGTTGCCAAAAAATAATTGTCCCTTAGATGAAACAGCAGTGAACAGAAAAATTGCGGATTTTTCAGAAGTGGAGGAGGCCATAAATGTTTTTGCTGCAGAACATCCAGTAAAAAGTTTTCTAACAACTATTGCACTTGGGGTCACAGACTGTAGCCAAGCTTTGATATGTACGAAAGATCTAAAGGCCTGGTTTTGGGAGCAAATGTTGTAAGGTCTACATCCGCCAACATCCACCCAATAAATATGAAGCTCTTGATGAAGCGGATCAGTTTAAAGCTCGTCTGGAAGCCAAATGTAATTCCGTAAGTAAGCACTAAACATTATTAATTCTCGGCCGTAGAGAGATAGACGTACTTAAAATTCTCCAATTTAGTGGATTTGGACTGCTATCCAAATATAGTTGTGATAAAATTATGAAGTTCCATCGACAAACATGGACAAAAGAACTGGATTCTTTCCAGCAAAATATCCCCATGCTAATGAAATTAAAAACGCTGCGCCTTCCACACTATCGGGGAAAATTTGGTAAAGACTGCAATAAATCGGTAGTGTAATTTAATAAAATAAAAAATAAAAAATAAAAAATAAAAAATAAAAAATAAAAAATAAAAAATAAGAAATAAGAAATAAAATAAAAAATAAAACAAAGTACATGAGTACGTTTATCATTCCTTTATAGATTATTGACCAAGATGTTAAGATAATAATTTGGGTTCTATTTATACTAAATGAAAGCTGGAACCTAATTTCATATTTGACAGTAATTAGTCATCAATAAATGTTTTCTTTGACTGTCGAATATACAAGTCAAGTTTGTGTTCTTATGTCGGAATGGATATACTAAGATTCTTGCAATGTTACTAGATCTTTTTACATTACTTACCGATAGATTTGTGATTATTATAAATTGGTTGGTGGTTTTAAGTGATTTATGTAGGAGTTTGTAAAGTTTATAGTGAGCACCAAATTAAGTTATTAGGTTTGATTACGCCTTCTTATGAGTAGTAAATAAAGTAGGTTTTAGGAAGGTAGTTATACTATTGGAGCTTTTTACGTCAATTTGAGTATAAGGATTGAAGGTGATAGATATTGTATGTCTTCAAGAGTAGAAGATGAATGAATAAGGGTTAAGAGATAATTTACTTAGACTGTTTGAAGTGTGTATGTTTCTTGTAACAGAAGTTTACCATACAAAATCTAATAACTTATACATAGAACGTTTCTTTTGACAGAGGTTTTGTTATGCATTAGAATAAGCAAAGTAGATAGACGAGCTTAATCTCGACTGCTTAAGTATGTAGGTTTCTTATAACAGAGGTTTACTATACATGATCGTGCTATATATTGAAGGTTTCTTATTACAGATGTTTTCTAATATATAAATGAAAGAGAAGGAGTAAAAAAAAAAAGTAATAAAAATAAAAAACGATAAACGACTCTGAAGAAAATAAGTTTTAAATTGAGATAGAAGTGTGAATTTCGTTATTGATAACGAATTTAAAGGGTGTCACGAAGTTACAAACTGGATCTTTACATGATACAGACTATTTCCATTTATGTTAATTACATCTACTTTTATTCCGGCTAGGTTATGAGGTTTTGCACAACAACTCGTTTAAATTTGGTGACAAAAATATAAATTTTACAGTCAAATACTTTTTTGAAAAATAGCTGGCACAACGGCGAACGTTTTGGTTAAATTTTGTTTCCCGAACACAAATTCAACCCAAATTATTTGGCGTCTCAGGAATATGATCAAAATTATTTTAGCATTTTGATCACTTTTTGTTATATATACCAAACATTTGGTGTAATTACACAAAAAATGAAAAATATTTTGGTGTTATCTGACAAATTTTTGGGGTTTTAACATAAGCTTTGATCACAGAACCAGAATCGATCAGAATAAGTTGCGTTTCATGACCATAGTTTGTGTCATAAGACAAGTATTTATGTTGCATGATAAATATTTCTGTAACGATATGCAAATATGTTGTATTGACACATCAAAATTTTATTAAGAAGCCATGTATTTTGGTTATAAGTAAAAAACATTTTGGTCATACGAAATATATCATTCAATTGTAATATTTTATAAGTATAACATATAATTTAAGAAACGTTTTATTTAAAGGATGCAAATGGATGTGGATATAGAGTATAATATATTTAAATGGGTCAATTAAAGTGTTATTAAGCTAGTGAATAATGTTAGTTATACGACCTCTACGTAATCATACCTTAAATATAGATATATTTGAATGTGTATTTTCAAAATTATTTTAAACTAGTAAGGGAGGTTAGTTATACGGTATAGGTAGCATGATATATGTTAGGTGCAAAAAGTACCTTAGGGTTCGAGCGTATGATATGCCTTTATGTGAGTTTTTACATATCTACAATAAATAATACTTTTATGATCCCAATATTCAAGATAATGTAGTATAAAAAGAACATAAAAAATGGATATTAGCTTCTTAAATCAACATAAAAGATTCTTACATAAAATAAAAGGGTATACAGGTAGGGAATGAGCGAACTCAATAGTATAGAAAGCCTGTAAAATAAGTAACGACATTAGTATCTACATCAAAAAACAAAAGCAGGACTTACCGATTGATTAAAGTCTTTTTGTAAAGTATGTAAAAGAAAGAGAAAAAATAGTAAAACGACGGATCGCGCACCATTAGTTTTAAAAAAAATAGCCTAGCGTAAATTAGTGTGATTTTTTACAAAATTATTGGTCTAATGAAATTTAGTGTGATTTTAGTAGATTTCATAACATTTATTTATAAAAAAAAAAAAAAAAAAAAGAGAGAGAGAGAGAGAGAGAGAGAGAGAGAGAGAGACGAAAAAGAGATATTAAAACAATGTCCTTAGCTCGACCCGAAATGCTTGGTTTGTTGGAAAGGTGCAGTGCTTTATTCAGCATAAGCAGGAAAATGAGGTTGCCTTCTTGGCAGTGATTGAGGTGATGGAGCAGCACAGTCTTGACAGTCATGGTGTTCCTGTTGTGGTTGAAAACACAAAAGATAAAGCCTATCGCAAGATTGCTGTGTGTGATGTGACCGTCACTGTTGAATGTGTTGGCCTTGTGCAGTACTCGGCTACAAAAAGTAAATTCAAAGTCGTGTGGCCAAAAGCACAATTTCATAAAAAGCTTGACCGAAAACTTTGTGGCCAAACAACTGATTACTAGTAAATAGAATAAAAAAAAATTTAGACAGAGCTCAATATTTTCAGTTTTTGGAGTCTGGAATTTGCAACATGTAAAAAAAAAAAAAAAAAAAGAGGATGGTAAAAAAAAAAAAGCGCAAGATTTAAGATTTGTGTATTTCTTGACAAATTTGTGTTATGCGACCAAAACTTTGGTCGCCCGACACAAGTTTTGGTTTTTTACATAAATGGTTCGCCGTTGTGTGGCATCAATTATTTGCCTACAAGTTTGTTAAAAAAGCGTCTAAATTGACTTGTTTGTTAAACAACAAAGTTTGTTTGCAAAACATATAAGTGTTGTCTGCTGTCACCAACTTTGGTTGCAAAAGGTACAAGTTTGTTATTCGTTATTTAAGCAACTTTTGTCGTTAAACGAACAAGTGTTTTTGGTTCTTTTACTAACAGTGAACGTTAAACTTACAAGGGCTGTCGTAAAACAACCAAATTATTTGTTTTTGGCGTATTAGACGGAGTTTACGAGTCTAGTAGCCTAAGAAATGGATGAAAAAAAAAAAAAAAAAAAAGTAAATAAACATTTAAATTACCATATATAGACTCACATATAGTTATCCTGGACACTCGCTTATTCGTAAAGAAAGCTTTATTTTACAATTAAGTGATGTCAATGCAATACTGAGTTATCAAAGGAAAATTTGTTAATACAAATAAAGATGAAACATAGCATTTGTGAAGCCAGATGCGTAAGTTTGTAACAAGCGATTAATTGTTAATTGTTCAGGATGTGCAACGATTCATGTAATGAAGACTTGTAATATGATAAGACTCAAATAAGCATAAAAATGTACTTGTATTTTTCATTATCATTGCGTTTTCTAATGTTTGGTCTAAAAGTTGAAGCTGAAAATGATTTCATTTTAAGAGGGTTTACATTACATAATCATCAAGGCTCCTTCAAATATGATGATGCAATCTTCAAGTTATTTTTATTTTTTTGTTAACGCTATTATGTATCATTGAAAATGTATAAGCTTTGTGCATTCATGCACATACCCAATTGATTTACCCTCCTGGGAACCATGTGTTTTTACCGAAGCGCAAGCGTAGGTGCAAAAATATATGGTCAGGAGGGACTGTCTAATACGCCTTTAAAAAATGGGATCAGCGACCCGAAGGGGAGCCCCATTTTTTTTTTCCCCTGCATATTTGTCGTAAATCAACCAATTTTGTGCACTGTGTGTCCCCTTGGTTTTTTTACACATATACAACTTTATTCAATATTATTGCCAATGTTTGTCAGTAACAAATAATTTAAACGGGTAACTAGATGTAGGCATAAATTTTTGGAACACGCGTAACTTTTATATTTTAAACTCATTATAGCCTTTCAACCAATACAATTGAAGCAAATCCGTAAATTGTTATGTATTTCTTGCAGAGCTATGAACTCGATCAGCTTTTGGTTTAAACGCACAAGAGTACGTTTATATTATTATTGTTCAATTAAACAATATTTGTATACAGTAGGGGTCCTCAGTCGTCGAGGTTTTAAAAAATAATATTTTTTGAATAAAAATTAGCCAATCAGAATTTTTTGAATTTTTTATTCGAACGAGCAACTTTTTTCTTGTTCATTCAAAAAAAATAATAAAATAATAATAAAAAAACAAATTACGTAACTAAAAATTCCAGTGTAACTGAAATTGAGGTAATTGGGGTCCGCATTCGTAAAAATGTAATGATATTTATGATTGGCTAATTATTTTTATTCAAAAAATATTACTTTTTAAAACTTCGACGACTGAGGACCCCTAGTAACTTTTGCTTTTAAATTTAATTTATAAAAAAAAAGTTTTTCACTTTTAGTCAGACGCCTTTTCAATCTAAGAATTCTAGGAATTGGGTTACACAGTGGCGGACTGGGTGGTAAAAACCCGCAACATGTGGTAAAAACCCGCAACATTTGGTGGTAAAAACGTCCATTTTATACCACCGAATGTTGCGGAATTGTGGTTCATTTACCACCGGATGTGGTAAAACTCCAAAATTATACCACCTAATGTTGCGGGTTTTTGCTACATGTTGCGTGTTTTTACCACCTAGTGTTGCGGGTTTCTTCCGCATGTTGCGTATTTATACCACTTCTAGTAGCTACTAAATTCCACTTGATGCGTCTTTTTACCATAATATAGCGTCCTTTCACTCAAAACGTAGTACGTACGTTATTACATCACTTAAACTATATTATTATTGATGCTGATGAACCTTTATACTGTTGTGCAATCAAGAAATACATTATATAATAAAAAAGCAGGGTTTAAATGAAAACGTTTTATTTTATTCAATTTTTATTTTGTATTTTACTTTATTTATTATAATTTTTGTACATATCATCTCCAAATTGATAAGGTACACTTACCTCCGTAATACTTCTTGCACTTACCTCCATAATACTTCTTGCACTTACTATTAACGGGCCCAATTAACACCATACTAGCCAAACAGCCGCCTATAGATACAGGTAACATTCGAGAGTCCCGCGAGATGTAGCAGTATATAGACCAAATCATTTTATTAGCCTAAAAAAAAATGCAGCCTAAAAGAAAAAATTGCAGCCTAAAAGAAAAATTTACAGCCTAAAGAAAAAAATATAGTCTAATTGAAAAATTTTCACAGCCTAAACCTGCTTTTCAAGTCCAAAGACGGCTCGAAATCTATACAACTCTTTAGAAAAACCGTATTGGAAATTCAAATGATAATTACCTTCAGCATATGGCAATGTATACACACAAATTCTTGGTACTTTAAAGTGTAATGACATAATAATAATTTGTATTTCATATGTCATATTTACCTAGTTTGTATAATCTACGGTATCTATTACTTAAATAACAGCACTTACAACACGAAGCAGAATTCCGGGCTGCCTTAAAAAAAGTTATAAGAGAAAGAAAGGGAGAAAACTAAATGAACAAATTTATTAATCTATAGCAAATTATTTAAAGTGCGAATCACGCTAAAACATCTTCTACAGTAGCTGATTGTAACACTTTTTTGTAGAAGCACATCATCCATTTTTCTACGGATTTGCTCCTTATTGGTCAAAGAAGAGTTATATTCTTCTTATAAAGCTTGTTTGCCTTAAATTAACTATACTCATAAGGTTAATCATTATCCTGCTGGTTCTTTAGCTGATTTGTAAGTTGGTCGTATCTTTCTCTGTAATGCGTAGACAAGTTTTATTATAATTAAATTCTTTTCAACAATTGATCTAATGACAGTACTTGTAAAAGAAAAAAATTTAAAAAGAGGAAAGGAAGGAAAAATAAAAATAAATATAAATAAAAAATTATATGCCGGTGGTTGCGTGTTTTATCCACCATGTTGCGTCTTTCCGCTACCGAGTCCGCGGCTGTGTTAGAGGAACAGAGTGGTAAATAAATGGTGAAACATAAATAAATTATCCGAAAACCATCAAGTCAATCGATTTTATCTTCAACGACTTTCACTATGGCGGATTTTTTGTTTGACTTAAATAAATTTGTTCGTAAAACGTACAATAGTTGGTTGTTTTGCAGCCAAATTTGTTCGAATTGTTACCTACTGGTTTTGTTTGTTTCTTTATTTTATTTTTAGTTATTTGCTGCAATAAAATTCGTACGCAAAACGAACAACAGTTGGTGATTTTGCATTTGAATTCGTACGATTTGTCACCAAACTGCTTTTACTTTATTTTGCAATTGTTTGCAAAAACTAATTTGTACGCGAAACAACCAACTGACGGTAACTCTGTAACCAAACTTGTACGTAATTTTAACAAGTGGGCTTTTTTCGGAATAGTAACACTATATTCTACTCTAAGCCTAATTCACACATACCTTATCATTTATTCACACTTTATTTTTTACCACTACCACTACCTCTGCCATTACCTCTGCTAATTCTTCCGCTCGTCCTTCCCCTGTCTCTTCGGCTCCTCCAAAATGAAGAAAAACTATTAGGATCATCCGCAGAAATGAATGAAGACCCCATCATTAAGCCAAAACACGGCCGTAAAGAATATTTGTATTGAAAATAAAAAATAGTGACATATCAAAATATAACCTCTTTCCTAAGTCTGAACTCCCTTTTTTTATTTCTTTTTTCTACTTTCTTTTTTTTAAAAAAAAATTGTAACTTTCTCTACCTACCGTATTGCTTGTCTGTACTAATAGTGCTGGTTTGTATTTACTGTCGGAATGAAGTTAATTTGTCATTCCAATACCTTGGTTACTTTTTACCTCCATGTCATCTGTAAGTGACATTTTTTATTTTCTGTTAGACTTATTTAAACTACAACTTCTGGCGTAGTCAGGCTAAAGCATCCTTAAACGCGCTCTTATCATTGCAGATATGAAGACTTTATTAGGCTTATACCTATAAAGGGAAAACAAGTTTTGATTATCGTAAGTTTTTCTTGATTGACTACACGTATAGAAGGAACTAATGTGCTCTACCTCACGCATGTTTATAGATACATCAGCTTTTTTCGACTTCCTTTTCCATCTTCTTTTGAAACTATTTTTGTGTGCGGTTTTTCAAAGATTAAATGGTACGCGTTTTTAGTATTTGCGGTTTTTTTTAGTGCCTCACCAATTTAACGTTACAGATTTCTCTATCACTCACTGCTTATTTCGGTCTGAGCATAAGTAGGTTACCATACACTTAACACTACTTACTTACTTTTCTAATCCCTCTATCAATTGGAGTATCTTCCAACCTCCTTTAAGAAAAACATGTCACTTATTTCCAACGCATTCGAGGTAGTAAGTAGTTTCTTACATTGTTTCTTAGGTCAATTGTATTATGGGTACGAATATTGGTCCAAGGGAACGATATCGCTCGTATTTTTAATGGTGGCATATAATCCCTACCTTCATAAGCATTCGTAATGGAAAGAACGCTTCTATTTAAAAGTCGGTTGAATATATAATTAAAACATCATTAAAATAATAAAGCGATTATTATTAATAATATTTTTTAAATAAATGACAGATGCATTATTAGTTTCCGCCTTTAAAAGAATTGGATAACACTTCTACACCTTCGATTTTATTTTAAAAACATTTTTTTTTTGAATGATAAAAGTGATTGTAAAAAAAGTGAAAAGTTTTGGTCGATTTCAGCTAGGTCCGACGTTACCGAGCATAATCCATACATATGTGTGTACTCCATTACCCTTCATTAGTAAATTTTGGCTTGGGCTTGTGCGAGCCAACAAACTTCAGCAACGTTTCTTTGATCATAATACCTTGAAGTGGGCCATGATATTCTGATCAAAGGTTGATTAGTCCATGAGATTTAGGTCATGTTCTTGAAGCAAAATAAAATTAAGACTACCCATGAGAAATATGCTAGATTAGTGGTTATACTGTGACAAATATATTATGTCTTACAAGATTTTTAAAAATTTTGTAGTGTAGGATCCTGGATCTAACATTTCACAATAGTAGTTAGGATCTTCCTATAAGGGGAGTGTATACATTGTTCAAGAAATATTAATATATAAAAATAATAAGAATTAGGAATTGTAAAAAAAAGTCACAAGGTTACCAATTTTTTGAGGGGGTGCGGGGGTTTCCCCGCAAGAGGGGAGGGGGAACCCCTCCACCCAAGAATACGGCCCATAGTATTAAGCATGAAAGAACTGATATCTTAAAAAACAATGCTTTTTTTTAACAGTGTAATTTTTAAGCAGTTAAAAAAAATTGGGGGGTGCGGGTGTTTTCCCCGCAAGAGGGGAGGAGGAACCCCTCTACCCAGGAATACGGCCCATAATATTTATCATAAAATTGTTATCTTCGGATAAACAATAATCCTTTTTTTTTACTGCGCTGTGTTTTTAAAGCATGAATTTTTTTATGGCGTAATATTTCTGAGCCGAGATACAAAATTAGAGGATGGGAAAACCACTCCTCCTAAGAATACGACCCATAATATTAAACATTAGACTAAAGAAAAGAGCATATATAAAAACTGATTGTTTGGAGAAAGTCATAATATAAAAGTGACTTTCACAAAAAACGTTATTGCAAAAAAAAAATTGTTACTATGGGGGTTTTCGGGGTAGAGGTTACCCTTCGCCCTAGTATAACATCCAATAGCATTAAGCATTATATTATCGAGGTTATAGAAACAGTCTATGAACACTTTGTCACAAACAATATATTATTATTCGAGAACAACTGAAAAATTGATTGTTTTAGGTCGATGAAGGGGTCGCCTTTGAAATTCATATTTTGGATTATCAAGTCTTTCATTATGAAACAAAAACACTGTGCATAGAATAGTTAATCAGATAGATAAACAATTAATACTTTTTGCGTAGATCAACGTTCTTGCCTGGGTCTAGGGATATCGTCTTTTTCGAAATATTTAAACATGTATTGAGAAACATCAAAGTTTTCTCCAGCGCCAAACTGATAATAGGCAGTGTAGCTTATGCTATAATATTGCGTGGGCTTCATGGTTAATTAATACATGTTAAGTTTTTTATTTCAAAAACAGGCCTACGGCAGCACTAGGCTTTTTCGAACCAAACCCTCGTTTCAGTAAAAATTTTGACCTTCGCTGCGTTGCGGTAAATGTTTAACCTGCACGACGGTTCAGTACGCTGCGCTTTGAAAAAGACTAGTTAGTATTAAGTTTCTCTTTCTTTTAATTCCTGATCTGAGAATATTCTCTTCTTGATCGGTGATACCGTAACTCAGTGGTATAGCATTCTGTGTCCGACTGTCATTCGTATATCGTATTTAAGCCAATTATGCACTCTTTAATATAGAAGTATGTACTCGTAGAAAGAGAAGTTGCATAGCAGTATAGAAGCTTATGCTGATATGCAACATCAACGGTTGTTTTAATTCCATAGTTTGCTTATTTAAACAATTTGTTTAATTATCCTTATGTCAATCGTACCCAAATACGACAGTGTATGTTCTTTATAAGCGTTGCAATTTTATAAAAAAGAGAACATCTACCATGTAAATTTTTTTTTGTCTTGGATTTTATTAAGGAAACGCTGACAAATGGGCGACGTACCCTATTTCTCACTCTACAGTTTTTTTTTTCAATTTAGACATCATATGATCCACTTCGTTATCAAGTCTATGCATTTGTGCACCTAGTACTGTATCGTCAACAATTTAATTTTGAATAATCTAAGATAACGTATAGCATATCGTATCTGTTTACATAACAGTTCTAAAAGTCGCATTTAAGAAAGCACTGATATTGTCACAGACGAAATAGGAACAAGACATAAAAACTACTCGGCGACACGAGGGGGGCGATTGGTTAAAATAAAATATGTTTATTTATTAAGAGGGGGAGGGGTTAGGACTAAGATCCAGAAAACGTTTTTCTAATAAATAACTAGCATCTATTTATACTATTTCTTATACATGGGAAAAGCTACGATGGGTTTAAATTATAGATTAACAAGGGACTTTACGGAACAGATATCATGAGCAGATTATTGACAAGCATGAGTAATTGAGATTCGACGATTAATAACAGGCTGGATTTAGTTGACATTGAATAATTAGATGGTTCGGGAAATATCTCTGATTGGACACGGGTGGGAAAACTGAATTGGGATATAAAGTAATAGATGATCGGAAAAAGGTTTACTAAAGTTGAGTCAGACAAGATACGGAAAATATATTGGAATACAGATTGGTGGTAGGTTTTACAAGGAATTCAGGAAGCGGGCGAGATATACAGATATGATTTTGGGTGCAAGGATTTAAGGGAGTTTGGTAGCGGACAAGATATACTGTTATTAAATTGTAGGACAAGGTTTCACAAGGGTTAAAAATCAAGGCATAATCTAGGACATGATGAAATGAGTTCATGACAACTTAACTTTCGCTCACAAGAAACTATTGTTGTTTCTTGTATTGAAGTATGCCACATGCTTTGGAACATTATACAGCCATCTCAAGGTCACTAATCTAGTAGAATTCGGCGTAGATACAGGAGACAGTAAGCCAATTTACAACCGTCCGTATGCATTTATTCTATTATCAGAAAGGGATTTCATGAAAAGAGAACTACAAGAAATAGTGGAAGCTGTTGTTTTGATTCTCACCACCCATACCCCGTACAATTCTTCTGGTACAGGCTGATCTTTCCCTTGCCCGTACATCAAGAAAGCTAATTGTCAAAGAAGGTTGATCACTAATTTTATTGGCCTCGATCAAGTCACCAAGAGAGATACCTGGCCGATGAACAATACGGTGGATGTTATCGAGTGTTTTTCGGGAAGCAAGGTCTACTCTTCGTGTGATATGCTGAAGGGATTTCATTTAATCAATGTGGAAAAGGACTCTATTCCAAAACGTACCATTGCAACTCACTCGGGTAATTTCAGTCATCGTCTACTGCCCTTTAGGTTGATCAACGCCCCTCACGCCTATACTAGGTGTGTGAGCCTTTGATTGCACCTCACACAGAATGGTGTACCTCTTTCATGGATGAAATTTGCATATTCAACCAATATGTGGAAACACAGTTGGGGTGTTTGGAGTTGTTTTTCCAACGATTAATGAAGTGTGACATAATATTGAACGCGGAGAAGTGTGAATATTTACTGGACCAGGTCAAGCTATTAAGTTTTGTCATTTCTAATAATCAAGTGCAACCTGCTAAGCCCAAGCTCAATTGCATTGCCGAATACCCCCGTCCCAAGGATCCCACCCGTTTTAAGGTTTTTGTCAATTAGTGTGGTTATTTTAGAAGACATGTTCAACAGTTCTTGCATATCGCTGGACCAATGAATGATTTGCTGGAGAAGGGTCGTGCATTCGTTTGGTCCCAAGCTCAAGAAGATTGCTTTAAAAAGTTCAAGGAGGCTGCTTGCGCAGCTACTCTGTCGTATTTGGGTACGATTCACTTTAAGAATAATTAAGCAAATCGTTTAAATAAATAAACTATGAAATTAAAACAACCTTTGATGTTGCATATCAGCATACGCTTGTATACTGCTATACAACTTCTCGTACTTCGAGTACATACTTCTATATTAAAGATTGCGTGATTGGCCTAAATACGATGTACGAATGACAGTTGGATACAGAATGCTATACCACTGAGTTACGATATCACCGATCGAGAAGAGAAACTTCTCAGATCAATCAAGAATTATAAGAAAGAGAAACTTAATATTAATAGTTCTCTCAATGGATTAGCTACCCAGAGAGAGAATAGAACAGCTATTAATATAAATGGTTCATTTTCTTATATATTGATATAGTTATATTGCTGATAAAGAGTATAAAGAAATAGTGTATGAATTAATGGATACCTAGCTTCTAGATAAAGTTTTAATATTAGTTCAATGCCAATTTTACATTTTTAATTGTAGTATTCACCTTCGTCGTAAAAATTTACTTTACACGGTTTCTGATTGCAGCAATCAAAAGGTTTTTAGACCCCCAACTGTTGGAAAAAGCAAAGAGAGGAAGATCGTTATCAGCTCCAAGGTAAGAGAACATATGATCGTCAGCGATCAATGCGAGCATTTCTCTTTTTTCAAACCCAATCTTCATCCAAGTAAAACCTGGAAACAGTGTAAACTGAAAAAGGACGTAAACGGTAACGAAATTTTTCATCGCGGTGTATGTCTAATCGTATCGACGTTCCGGTTCGAAATCATCCATTGCAATAGGACCACCTTCCAATATATTGTTGTGGCTTTTGATGTAGGTTCTCGAGTCCTCAATGACCGGGTTCTTTGCAGAGACACCTGAGGGTTTAGCTTCAACACGTTGGCCTAAACAATTTGGGTTCTGTAACAAAGCTTTTTTTTCTCCTCGGTGTAGATATTGCTGATCAGGTTTCTTAATTCCGTATTGCCTTCTTGATCAGTACAACCAGGCATACCTTGGAGCCGAATTAGCATTGCATGAGGTATTTCTTTCTTTAAAATTATCTTACCAGCAACTCGTGAGTGATCGGCCATGTGTTTAATCATTTCTTTTAACTCTGTAATGGTGTTCTTCATTTCCATAACTTCATGCTTAAGAGATTGCACTTCAGCTACAAGAGGATCGTGACCGAAAAAGGAGTTGGATGCAGAATTAAAGAGACTATCAAAGGAAGAATATAATCTTTGCGTAGAAGAGGTTTCGTAGTCATGCATTATTTGGAATCAAGTATAGTCTAAGTAGTTTTCTGAAGAGATGATAAAAAGATGTAGTTAAAAAAAAATTAAAATGCATTTGTACTTTCCAATTCGGTAATCTGTCCCAAATAGGTTAAGATGGAAACCGGCTGTCATCACAAATCAGGCAATTTGACAGGCTTGGCATAATTCTGCGACGTATTTACCGGAAACTTTGCAGTGAAGGATTACTCGTAATTATTGACAGTGATAACGCGTTATAAAATAAAGAGATGTTAAAAGGCTGGTAAGCAATGCACTGGGTATGTTACTAACTTACATGGGAATATTTGAGATGGTCATTCCGACAGCAAAAAAAAATAATCTTGTCGTTTTACAAAAATGTAAACTTGTTTGTAATGTCAACGACTACTCTTTTTATACCAAACGTTCCACAGGAGGTAACGACGCACCGTAACTACGTCAAAGTACTATGAGTGATAGCTCGTTATGCGTGTTTAAAACTGACAAATTATCTAATACAGAACAAGCCCGAAGCAAAGCGTCTATTTTTTGATATAAAAGGATCTGGAAAATCGACCGAAAAATGAAACCACCACCATATTTACAATGCAAACGTCCCCAAACAACACTAGTCAAAGAAAATATAAAAGAGCTCGAACCCATACTCCTACGGCTGTGCTTTTTAAATGCCTGTCCAGGTACTCTGAAAGTCTTGCACAAGTTGATTTGTCATCTGTTCCAACAGATATCCATAAAATGTCTAAGGATACTCCCCGCGAAAGTCCTCCTAGCTATCCCAACTTTGAAGGGTTAGACCAAAATGAGTGTGTTCATGAAGAGCATGATGAAATTTTTGAAGATGCATTTTTCACCAACTCGAATGATTTCGAATATACTGCTGGATTTGTTGCGCCAGAGATGGATTCTGTTGTATTTGAGTACGATTCACTTAAGAATAATTAAACAAATCGTTTAAATAAATAAACTATGAAATTTAAAACAACCTTTGATGTTGCATACCAGCATACGCTTGTATACTGCTATACAACTTCTTCTACTTCGTATACATACTTCTATACTAAAGATTGCATGATTGGCCTAAATACGATATACGAATGACAGTTGGATACAGAATGCTATACCACTGAGTTACGATATCACCGATCGAGAAGAGAAGCTTCTCAGATCAAATCAAGAATTATAAGAAAGAGAAACTTAATATTAATAGTTCTCTCAATGGATAAGCTACTCAGAGAGAGAATAGAACAGCTATCAATATAAATGGTTCATTTACTTATATATTGATATAATTATACTGCTGATAAAGAGTATAAAGAAATAGTGTATGAATTAATGGATACCTATCTTCTACAACCAAATATACAAATAACGATGAGACATTTTATAATTGGGATCGTATTTTATTGATTACAAAGATAATGAATAAATGAACAACTATTATGTTCTACTGCAAATTACACTTGACAAACAAGTTGGAATCTTTTACAGTAACCGTTGCTTGATCTTATAAATTAGTGTCTTGTAATACTAAAGATTTATTATAATACTCATGCTCCCGATCCACTGATATGGGACAGCCTTAACTGGAAACAATTCTAACGACTAGTATCCATTTAACCCAAGGCGGGAAACAAAGTATAGATCTATTCCAAAACCAGAACGGTTGACTCGTCATTAAAACTCAGGAGAGTTGTGCAATATAAAAAGGATCAATTATTTCATAGCAGCAGAGTTCTTTTAGTCTATTTTTACCCCTAATAAAAATATACTTTTATCTCATTACTTTTCTAGGTAATATTTTGTCAAATACCACAGATGATAAATAGGACAACAACAAAAAAAGGATCAAATATCAGTTCACTGAGAATTCAATGTATGGACAGTAGGTAAATTAGGTGTATCTAAAAAAACGATCTATTATAGAAAAATGTAATATTAAAGCCATAGAATAAATGATTTTATCTATAAACGTAACCCCTGATTAAAGAACAGTTTGGGTCTAGCAGTTTATATTGTAAAAGAATCCTATCTTTATTTTTATGATTATTTTACGCAAACTCCCCCTACCCCCCTACCCCATTGCCTGTCGGAACAGCCAAAAGTGAAGAACATGTTTGTAAAAGACATTAGTAAAAAAGTGGCAGAACTTCATAAACGTTTAAGCGATAATAATTCACTTGGTATTCTCGACAGCCGTTTCTAGATTTAGGGAGGGCTTCATAATAATACAATAATCAAACGTTTATATCACATACCATGTTAGACATTTATACATCAGGATACATCTCCTCTACAAGAACTATTATGACTCTGAAAATAAAACAATTAGTTGTGCAAACTTGGCAATTGTAATCATAACCCCATACCTTTGGATAGACAGAACGGTAAAAAAGGTATTTGTAAAATATTAGGTCACCTTTCGATCCACAGATGTATGGTTGATCAACCTCATAATCTATAATACATGATACAATTAGAGTGCATAAAAGAACAGTGCTTTAATAATTACCTTGCAAGTCTTATAGCAGTTTTTTTTGAAAAAAAAAATGTAATAGGGAAGATAAATGAGAAATAAAATAAATCCTATTTAATCAGAAAAAAAAGGGACATTCAATGGACGTTCAAATAAGGTTTAATCAAGGCTCAATCAGTAATTTAAATCAACTTCAGCAGTTGATAGTGTAATACTCTAAACTCCGAATATCCAGTCAAGCCACTCTCACTCTCGTATCACTATCCACCTACTGCGTCGTCAAGACCGCAGCACTTCATACTTATCCTGAATTACACTAACACATATACTTATCCCATCCGCAGCAATTATCCCTAAACTATAAATACTCCAAACAATCATTATTAAATAAAGTATCTTATTTTTATTATCTTAACTTTCTATTTAAGTACCGAACGTCTGAATATTACAGATAGAAACATACGCATCTATCTAAAAAACAATAAAAAGTTATTTCTTCAAATAGTAGTTGTAGCTGGTGATACGGAGCTCGACTCCTTGAGAATTTTTTTTAAGCATTGGTCGCATTTAGAAAGATGAAGAATTGTTTTGGCAGAATATAATTAAAAAAAAAAACTGAAAGTGGAAAAAAGACCTTTTTTTTTTCGCTTTTCTTAGGGACAGCCAATTTTTCCTTAGGGACAGCCAAAGTGCACGTAGTCGCAACGTAAGATCTATGGTTTGGATGTTCTGTAGACATGGGAACAAGGATATACAATCAAAAACAATGTAAAAATTACAAATAAATGTACATCAAACGATTTATACTTATTTTGACAATTCTATTATCACTCTTTCGCCTTTGAGCTCGTTTGAATTAAATCTTACGCAGAAATATTAATGTTAAGTCCAAACGAGAAGCTGAAAGTTAGCTTTAAAATACATATACTGGTTTAAACTATGTTATTTGTGATAAATGTGTATGTATTTCAAGTTATTAAGTTCTATTGACCTCTTGATATCTATTAAAGTATCATAATCCCAACATTACGACTACGTGCACCCTGGCTGTCCCTAAGAAAAATGGCTGTCCCTAAGAAAATTTGGCTGTCCCTAAGAGACCCGTTTTTTTTTTTTTCTTAAATAAAGTTGGCGCCATCACTAGTTTCCTCGTTATTATAGAGTGTATTTACGATCTAAAGTCTATATTATTCACGATATCTTAATATCATATAAAATCAACCTGTTTTACTTTTAGAGCACCTAGCAGTAGGGCTTAAAATGTAAAATTAAGGTTTTTGCCTCGAGCAATGTCCTGAATGTTTTGTTTGTCTTACCTTCACGTTTTCCAAAGTGGAAAATTGATGTAGCAACAATCATGCATTTTTCTTTCTTCGATAAAATAAACAATGCCAGCTATTTTGACAAGGAAGAAATCGTACAGAGAAAACAAAAAAATCTGTTCAGGTACACACAACCTTTTTAGTGCTCCGAAGAGTAAGAGTTTTTTTAAGTGTAACTGCTGCAGTGCTCTTACTCTTCTGGTCTAACCCCTTTTGTGATTTCAGATGACCATCTATTAGAATTTATTGATACTACGGCCTCCAAAAACTACTTTTATATTGAATTTAAAGAATCTGTTCACTACAACGCGATACCCATTTGAACGATTATTAGATATCATACACCATAGCTCCTCTTTGAGTACGACATCATTCTCTTCATTTTTTGATGGCTTAAACTATTTAACCGGCTTCTCTTTTTTTATTAAAAAAAGAGGTACAAATTTTCCAAAAATCCTGCACCAGTTCCATACAAATAGACACTGTTTCTTGCACTGAACGATGTATACGATAAATATTTCACTTTGCTTACTGGATACAAATCTCGTATTGCTGAATGTTTCAAAATAAATTTAAATGACAAAAATCAAGAAGAGCTCGCTGTGCTGGAAAATAAGGACCTTCGAATAAAACAACAACTGGCAACCTCAAACATAAGCAATACTGATGAAGAAATTTTGCGCACGTTAATGAACGAGTATATAACATTGCTTAGTCCTGGTAAGTTTTTTTGTAAGGCCAACCATATTGTAAATTTATGACTTCCCACTAATGCAACGTAGATAACAGATTGCTTATGTCTAAATATCAAGGCAAAAAGTTGATCAAGCAGCTTTGTCCCATAGTTCCAATGGGGTATAGAACATGTGAAAACGGTTGCACCATTTTCACAGATGGGATCGATTTTTGTAAAAACACAAAATGCAGGGTTTATCATGAAGGTAAAACAATGATGTTTCCATTACACCAACAGATCGCGATGCTTTTCAAGTGCAATGAACGTAGAAGACAATTATTATATCGTACAAATCGCGCTGAATCACACGAGGAGTTGCAAGATATATTCGATGAAAATGCTTACAAAGGTCTGAAAACAATTCTCTATCAAAATCCGTATGACATAGCTATTGGTCTATGCGTGGATGGGTTTGCACCCTTTAAACAAAATGGAAGGTCAATGACTTTAATAATGGCAGTTATTTGTAACTTTTTACCAGAGATTAGGTATTACTAGCCAGGCATAGTTATCCGCTATATTTATTGAAATACTGATATGTGCACATTTAGATATAAAAAAGAAAATCTATTGATCTTGGGTGTGACTCCTGGACCAAACAAGGCGGATATATACAGCTATCTCACTCCTTTAATTAAGGAACTGTTAGTTTTAGAATCTAAGGGGATAATAATTATCAATGAAAATACCAGTTACAAGATTAACGTTCACGTTTTAAATTGTATTGGAGACATTCCGGGTCAGACCGAATTATGCTTAAGCTCATCCCATACTAGCAAGTATGGCT